AAAATCGGCAGAGTACCCTGTATATCACACAATTTATCACAGCTGTCTCCCATATCCACTATTTATACACTGGATTCACTAGCCTGTCAGAAGTTGCTTTAAACAAACCAACTAATAATTGGAAATTGTAAATGCACTGACTTGGAATAAGGCTTTACTAGATCTTGTCTTGCTCAGTTAAAAATATCATGCAATATAACAGAATAATGCAATTGAACTGTAGAATTTGAATTAATATTTAGATTTGAACTCCAAATTTCCTCATGATTTGGTGAGCCATCTCATGTGTTTCTAGTTTACTTCATCCATAATTAGTCTGCATCATTTCAGTGAACTATCAGATGAAGTGTGATTGCTTGTGTCTCCTCGGTGAAGTAACAATATTACACTGAGTCTTAGGTCGTTCATCTGCAAAATGTGTATAATACCATAAAGGTATTAGCTGGTATATGGATTCATTAATGGCAGTAAAGCCCCTGTAAAAGTGTGTGTGTGGGAAAGTTTCAAATTTGTAATGCATTCTAAGAAGCTTTATAGCACCTTGCTGCGGAGAGAGGCTGAAAATTGATATAATGGATAAAATGAAGGTAGAAGCCTTCAATGAAGTTAAAAGTAGTCCTATGCAGGCAAAGAGTGCTGTCAGACCTTCAAGATCAGCATAAACTCAGGATGAAATATTTGAAGGAAGCCAGATATACTCTACTGCTTGAAATGCCCCTGTGTTCCAGAGCAGGAAGGTGAGTATGAGGAAAGTTCAGCAAAGAGTCACTGTTCAAGGGTCAAGACACAGGGGTTAGGAAGCCTAAACCCTATCTGGAGATGAATCTGGTGAGGGGTGTGAAGGGCAACAAGAAATGTTTCTTCAAGTGTAGCAGCAACAGAAGAAAGTCTAGGGAAAATATGGTTCCACTGCTGAATGAGGGCAGGGGACCTGGTGACAAATGACATGGAAAAAGCCACAGTACTCAATGCCTTCATTGTCTCAGTCTTTACTGGTAAAGCTGGCTTTCAGGAATGTCAGGCCCTTAAGACCAGAGGGGAAGTCTGGAGCAAGGAGGCTTATCCTCAGTGAAGGAGGAGGTTAGGGAATATTTAAACAGGCTGGGCAAGACTCAAATCCATGGGCTCTGACAGGGTGCACCTACGATTGCTGAAGGAGCTGGCTGACCTCATTGTGAGGCCACTCCTGATTATCTTTGAAAGGTTGTGGTGATTGGGGGAGGTTCCTGAGGACTGGAAAAAAGGAAATGTCACTCCTATCTTCAAGAAGGAAGATCCAGGGAACAACAAGCTTGTCAGCCCCACATCAGTCCCTGTGTACATGATGGAGTAAATCCTGGAAACAGTTTCCTTGACCAGCCTTCTATGATGAGATGACTAGCTTGGTGAATGAGGGGAGAGCCGTGAATGTGATTCATCTTGATTTTACCAAGCTTTTTGGCACTGTCTCCCATAATATTCCCAAATACAAACTGCTGAAGAATGGGCTAGACAAGTGGATAGTCAGGTGGACTGAAAACTGGTTGAACTTAAGCTTAAAGGGCTGTGATCAGAACTGCTGGGCTCTAAAGTGCTGTGATCAGTGGCAAAGTCCATCTGGAGGATGATCTAGCTTGGCTGTCCCTCCTTGCCACCTGTAAGACGCATGGATGTAGGGTATCAGTGCTATTCTGTGACAGCTTGAACTCAGCTGTCCACAGACCTCCAGTGCTCTTGTGACATGTGACACCAGTGCCTCTCTCAGAAAGATGCTGCAAGTCTTGTGACATTGCTCCAAAAGTAGGTAGGTTGTAAGAAGGTAGGCAGGGCAGATTCTGCAAGTGCAGGTCCTGCATATGGCAGATGGGTTTGTGTGGGGTCTGTAACAAGACAACACAGTTTTCTTACCATATGCTGTTGGTGAGTAATGGCCTCAAGTGTAGGCTCCAAGCCTGCACTAGCAATAAAGTGTATGGAGAGAGAGCCTTTCAGCCCATATCCCTCTTCTGGGGCTGTATAGAGGGAGAAAGCATGAAAAGATGCACTACAGGCTGAATTTATGGTGAAACGTTAGCTTAAAGTACCTTCCCAGTATTGGTATCCACTCTTTCAGATGTGAAACTCTCTGACATCTGGCTGACTTACTCCTCCAGATCCGTGCTTTGCTTGCTTGAACTCTAGTGGCATATAAATAATCACATTAGTATTTATTGCTTCTACAGCCTACTATGAGCTCTCTGAGTTTTGTTATTAATTCTTTTAGGTACAATATGCCAAGCAAGCAAGAAACAGACTTCACAAGGAAATTGCCTAAATTGAGGGATTCAAAACAGCACAAAATAAGAAACTGTCAGGTGATCTATCTCCTGTTATAATTTCAAGGAGATTCTAGGTCTAGGACTTTGTTATCCTTGTTCCCTCCAAGGATGATCCGGTTGCTTCTTGCCTGAGGGACACATTGCATACAGAGGGATGCCCTGTGCTGCCAACTCCCAATCTGCTCCTTCTAGTGTTGCAACAGTGGAAAAGCACCCTCCCCCATTTAGTGTTACTAATCTCTGGAGAACAGGACACCTTTTCTTTACTAGCTGCCCAAGAATCACTTTCAAATCTAGATTTTTTTTTTTTCTTTAAAAAAGAAAAAAAAATTCTATTGTAGGTAATACATTCCAGTTCCCTGAGTTTTTCTTAAATGTGTGTTACATTCTAGTGGCTTCTGACTCTGCTTTGGCCTGAAAATACTTCCTAAGCTTCCTTTAGTGCAGTGAAACTACAAAGGTGTTTCACACAGCTGCCCAGAAGCAGAAACCACTCCTTAACAAGCTCTATGGTCAGGCATGTCTTACCTAAAATGGATCCTGACTTTGAGTAAAATAATTATCAACCTGATATATGGATTCAGGATGGGAGCTTCTTCCTGTTAATTCACATGACTTGTTCAGTGAAAATTTTATCTCATGGCTTAACTCACTTCTGACTGTGTTTCAGCAATGTCCTATGAAGACACCTTTATATTATATTTCTTAGATGGATGAGCCTGAGTGAAGATTTGCACTTAGTTTGCTGTAAATAATGTATATTACCCCTACCTGGCATACAGACAAGTGCAAATTCACTACACAAGTCTATACCTGGACAAAATAATTGCAGGTCCTTACAAGATCTTGATAGCCTCTTGGTGTGGTGACAGGCACACAGGATTGTGTGATCCCTAAACATGATTTGTGGGGTGACTGTTCTACCTTGGTTCATACCTTCTTCAGTATGGGCTCATTTGTTCATTTCGGCCACAGTTCCTCTCATCTGCTGTTGGGGGAGAGGATCATTCAAGGTTAGTGGACCCTAGTGATTCCTTCATTAAATGGTCTCTTTGTCATGTCCAAAAAGCTTTCCTGAGGTTCAATATCTGGAAGGAAAACCAGGCAATATAGTTCAGACTAGATTTACAACTCTTAAAACCAGCTCTTAACTTAGTGTACTAACAAGCAATTTTCATCAGGTTGCGTGAGTGTACCATTGCTGTGAGATATTTAAAAACACACATAGTAAATACTCTTCTGTGGGCGCTGGGAGGCAAAGAGAGTTAGATCAGGAAAACTTTGTCCTTGACATAAGTACAATTGTGTTTTGTAGCAGTGGAAAAGCAAATGATAACATGCTTGAAACAACAAAACAACATCTGGAGAAGTAAGAGAAAAAAACAATCAGAAGATAATTTTGAAAACCACACTTTTTGTAAGCTAATTACAAATAGGTAGTCAAGGCAACCAGGGAGGAGCAGAAAAAAGTACATGGGCAGGCCAGGAGGACATGCCACCTGCCACATCATTTGACATGAATTACACTCAGCATACTGTCTTTAAAGACTTTGTAAGGAAAGGACAAAAATCCTGCCTGACAATTTATCTCAGATAAAAAGAAATACATGACCTATCTATTAACAAAAAAACTGAATAGGGTAAGAATCAAGTGAACGTGTTTTTTGTTTTGATCTGAGTGGCCAGGTGATTTCTTGAAGAGAGACCCATAAGCTGAAGCAGAGATTCCTGGGAAAGCAAGCAAATCACCCAAGGAAACTGGTTCTTCCTTGACAAGGCAATGTCCATGTAGGGTAACCTTCAAAGTAGGTGTATGCCCATGCTTTATAGATGAGAATTCCTGACATGAAGACATCAAATTCCACTTTTGGGCCTGGAAGGATGAACACTTTTCACCAGCATATAAAAACTTTGACCGTAGGTGTCTGTTTTATTTAGCAGTTCTTTGGGCTGTTAAACTGTTACCATGTTCAGCTCCACTGTCTTCAGAATCATGGCACTGAAATGCCATCCAGAAATTAGAAATAGACCTGTGACTGAATTTGAGGAACAATTTTGGTTCCTGTGTGCAACATCAGTAGATCATCACTCACTAGAGTATCTCCATTGACAGGTTTTTGGCAACTAGTTAGTCTTCCAGAAGCAGCCAGATAATTCCTGTAGCTAGACAGACTCTACAGCTCTCCTTTACCAAAGTGCCTAAGTATGTTCATTTACCTTTGATTTTCATAGACTATAGAATTAGGCTTACATTTTATGGCTTTCATATGTGTCTTGCTGCACTGAAACCTCACTAAGCTACCACTTTCCGAATTCTTGTGTATTTTACCTATATATTGTCTGTTGATCTGTCAACACATCTGAGGGAAATCCAATAGTTTTCTTCACAGGAAACACTAGGTGTTTTTTCACAGGAACACATGTGCTTAGACACACAGATATATGTGTAGCCATGGAAGAAAATAAAGTCCTTGCAGTGCAGCATCTTGTTGCTGTTGTGGTCCTGAAGGAGGGAGGATCTCTGCTTCTTCTCAAAGATCCTCTCTACTCCATTCTGAAACTACCACCTGAGCAAAAGCTTCTTTAGCAAAACCTTCCAAAACTAAACAGAAAAGGTCATAAAATCCAAACCTTTGGGCCCTGTGACAGTTATTCAGCTGTACTGAATGAGGGACCTCACTATTATTGTTTTTGCTTTTGCAGGATTCCCAGCAGGAGAACTACAAAAGCCTTTCTTTTGGGGAACAGAGTATCCTAGGTAAGTACTGCACCAGGGAATCTCATACACCTGGAAATGAGGAATAACAGAGAAAGGTATTGGAAATACATATAGACAAAGAGGAGGGCATGGAGAAGAAGGCTACACTGCTGAAGGTGACCAACAGGTAGTGCACAGGAATACTG